TGTCACGCAAGACATCAGGTGACACCTCCTCTCTCTCTCTCTCTCTCTCTCTCTCTCTCTCTCTCTCTGTCCTTCATGTCTCTGTCAAGGTCTATTGTAACTCAACACCTGTCTAAATCTGTCTAGTTGTGTGTGCGCGTCTGTCTGTCTCTGTCTTTCCGTCTGTCTATTTTTAGTATGTTTATTTATTTATTATCTTATGTTTGTGAATATTTTTCTTATTCTGTCTATCATCTGTTATTTATTTACCTCTCTGTCTTTATATCGTACACGGGTCGTTCCATGCACAGGTCGTTTCAGCACGGGTAGTCAGTCGGCCCAGCAGGTGACGCAGCCCACAAGCAGAGCACTGTGACGTCATTACCACCTTCAGGAGTTTCAAGAGAGGTGTAGCCGACCACACACACACACACACACACACAAGCTAACCCATACATATTACCTGCCTGCATTTACACACAATCCTAGAATAACACACACACACACACGCACGCACGCACAAGCTAACTCATACATACATCTGCTTGCACACACACACACCAATCCACCCACACGCAAATGACCTTTAACTTAACCATGCATTCACCTAACATATCCCACCTACTGCACCTCCATTTATTAACCAGTAACACATTATTTCAAGTAGGACACACTATTGTTATATCTCCGTGTGAGGGATGTGCATGTGGAAGGATGTGCAGGTTGCTGTGAGAACTTAATCACATCTCGATTTAAGGAGCAGTGTTTTAGTTAGACCTCAGTGTACCCCCATGTAATGTCTCGTGCAGCTTGGCTTAGGTTGATGAGAATCCCTGCTCTAGGTGATAAAGTATTTTTCGTATTATAGATAACATGATTTAATACATCTCCTTCTCTTCCTCCTTCCTTCTTTTTAATACGTCTACAGTTGGCTTGTATGTCGGGGCGGGGTTGACGGGGTAGTGTGGTGTGGAGCGATGTGGCAGGAGGATGTGGTTAGACAGTGTGGCAGCAGGGTGGTGTGGCGCGGCGGTATGACGATGTGGGGCAGGGCGTTATGACGGAGCGGTGTGTTTATTATAGAAAAGGACTGATAAAGCCATAGGGACGACTTGGCTTTAAAAGTTGTGAGGTGATAATTTCCTTGAGGGCGCGGGTGTAAAGCCAGGGACGACCAGCCTACCACCCCAGCCTACACACTAAACGACCCTACCCCTCTTGTTTTGTTTTTCCCTTCTCCCTCATCTTTGTCTAAATCCTTTTATTCTTTCTCCCTCTATCCTTTTCTTTTTATTCCTATCTATCTATCAATCTATCCATATCTCTCTTTGTAGATTAAGTTTATTGTAATCGTTCATAAAATTTGTCCGTGTAAATAATAATATATTCTATGAAAGACTTGAATATTTCTTTTGTATTCATCTGAGTTTTACAGTTGATGTATTAATCAATCTTATAGTTTTAATTAAAGTTAATACTTAAATTAAGTTCTAAACTGGAGGAGATTATAATAAATTTTGACTTTGTAACAGGAGATTTGTGACAGCCCCTTATTGGTTGGTATCGTAACGTCAGTTTTTGAAAATCGAGTAATTATTATGTACACATAGTAGATTTACTAGTTAATTCGCGGTATAATACGAAAACAAGAAATAACAAAAAGTTAGGTGGAATATGGCGCCATTATATACCATCGTCCCAAGCTGTGGCCTTTTTAGCTGTGACTTCCGGCTCGGTGACTCACTCCCCAACGCCGCGACCTTACGACACGACTATAGAGTAGAGACCCGTATATAGGAAAGAAAGTGCCATAATGTCTCTTTGTTTCTTCTTACAATAGCGTCTTAAATGGCAACTCACACCCGTTGTGATGTGTTGCCAAGTCTGACTTTAATTTCGGCTAGAATTTATCCGGTAGAATAGGTCGAGGCTTTGTTTAAAATGGCAAGTTATGACCTTTTGAAGCTCTAAGTCTAAAAGTGTTTATTTTGAGTTTGGTGCGTAGGGGGAGAGAGGTAAAAGTGGTGTACCAACTTCACCCACACGATCTCTGTTGACATTTAAAAGGCCGAAGTGTAGGTAGTAGTACTTGTCTTTCTATCTTGAGTTATCGTTAGTATGACATTTCCTCTTATCTCTATAAATACCCACTTATTTGTCTTGTTACTATCTCTGTTTATCAGTACATCTGCCTGTTATCTGCGTTTTTTTTGTTAGAGGCACACCAAGGCAGAATGGTGATAATGGTAGTTTCAATGTTAATCATCATTCGTTCAGGTTGGTGGTGATAACCCCATCAATTGTCGAATAAGTATGTCGTTGGTGATAATGATCCCCACAGAGATAGTATAATTATGTCTGAATAACGGTGTAATGTTTTTGTTAGTCTTGAGAACGGTGATCAACCCCTCCGTCCAACAACGATACTATTGTGACATCACGCATTGTCTGATCTACTATCTTGGACGGTAGACGGAACTGAGACTACTACAGATATAGCGTAAATTCAAGTGACATCCCTGATTTAGCTGACAAGTAGCGAAGAGGATAAAATTTAAGTAAAATAAAATAAAACTCATGCCATAATAAGAAAAAACACTCAATATATACTGTAGGTAGAGGTGGACAAATGAAGGTGGGCGAATCTTCCACTATGATTAGCTAGATGCTGTTGATTGCTCGCGCTGGTGTTGTAAGGTGCTATAGTAATCAAGAATGTACTCTGTATATAGGAATTACTTGTAGTTATTTGATATCAGTTGAGAAGGCTTGATGTAACTATTTCTGTGGCATTCTTTTTTTAACCATACATACACACTTTACACCGAACCACACGCACACACACACACAGAGGTAGGTTATAATAATATGGGGTAGGCATGTTAAAGGTTTGGTTAGGTTGAGGTGAGTTAGGTTAATGTTTTTTTTCTTCGGGAGTTTGGTCAAGTTTGGTTAGGTTAGGGTTTGATTAGGATAGATTTAGGGATTCGCTAAGCTGGGGTGTTTGGTTCGTTTAGGTTTAGGGATTCACTTGGTTAGGTTAAATTTAGGGAATCGCTAGGCTAGGGTTTACTTAATTTATGTTTGGTTTACCTCCCAATTAATCAAAACCACAAATCTCTCCACTGAACCATCAATTATTCACTCAATCATACGGTAAACGGACCCACATTCCACACGAGTAGTCATCATCTTTCCACGTAACCGACCGCGTCAGCTGGAGCTCTACCAAGACCCATACTAAAGAACCGCCTTGGAGCTTCCCCACAAACATATTAGGCTTCACACACGCCACTCGTTCCCACCTTCCGTTATGGTGGTGAAAACAATAAATTCTTAAGAGATGGAAGTATGGTTTTCTTATGGCATTTATTACCATTGGTTTGTTTAATTTCGTTATGTTGAGTTCAGCTGCTTATGGTGGCAAGTGAGTAAAGTGTGTGTGCTGTTTTTGGTTTTTTGTGATGGGTGTGTGAAGGTGAATGCTTATTATTATTATTATTATTTATGAGTATTAGTATTACTAGTTACAGCAATTGGTTCTTATCATTATTACCACTTACGATAACAACAGTCAATATTATCCCACTTCAACTTTCCAATCCATTTTATAGTTCGTCACCCGGACCACCTGGCAGGCTTTCCCTTCCCTCCCCCCCCCGACTTCCCTGTCAGTCATGTTAGTGAGACAAAATATATTGAGGTTAATGACATCACACGGACGGAACAATGCTGTCTGCTGTTACTCTCACGCTCTGCTACCTCCCACTTCTCTCAGTATGACAGCTTAGTTTACCAATCAGAATGTTTATGAGTTTTCGTGTGTGTAATGTTTGTGTTAATGTTGTTATGGGGTATTGGTGATCTAGTTGTGTTAATTTGTTATTATTATTATTATTATTATTATTATTATTATTATTATGAATAATAATAATAATAATAATAAAAGTAGTATCACTGTAGTAGTAGTAGTAGCAATAATAATAGTAGTAGTTAGTTGCAGTAGTAGTAGCAATATTATTAATTGTAATAGTAATAGTAGCAGTAGTATATATGATTTTACAGGAAGTCACTAGCATCGCCACCACCACAGCCGTGAGAGAATTGAAAGTTAAGAATTGAATAGAGACGGAAGTAACCCACGACGAATCAATTATTGACTTAATTGAATAGCTGCCAGCGACTCCAACACCGCGGGGGGAATTGATTCTTTTATTTCAGGCGGATTGACGATGGATTGATGAATTAATTGTTGGTGAGACTATTTTAATGGTGATGCTTTAACCGAAAACTTTATGGCTATTCGTGTGTATATTGAAATGACTGCATTTATATATATTTACTTTGGAAGAGAGTAAAGTTTATGGGTAATTTAAGAATTATTGTAGAGGTTTGATAGAAATTGATTGAGTTTTATTATATAGCATCGTGATCAATTTAGTATAGTCACCGTAGTTAATTTTGTATTTAAGAGAGAAAACGAGATTTTTGTTTTTGTGTTGTATTAGAAAATAGAGACTTCAATTAGGCGTCAGATAGTGTACTGTATTATGTTATGTGTGTGTGTCGTAGAGTGTGACAGGCCAACGGTCTATAAGCTAGGGTGTATCACAGGTTGCACTTTCATACCTGTTTTGAGTTCGTGTTTTAGTCGCTCGTGGGAGGGGATCGAACCTGGGTCTTGTTTCAGATGTAGAACAAGTAGTGATCTTTTCACACAGCCAAGACCTGTATTTTTGTTATGTCATTGTTGTCATCCAGTTGAGTGTTGTTTCATAATTTTCTTGATTGTATGATATTTAACTGGTGTATTTCAAGAGAGTTACAGCACTTGAAAGGCATATTCAATTGAGATTTTTTTCTTTAATTCGTTGTAGGATATCATGTATTAAATATATTTGATTGTATTATGTATAGGACAAAGTTCACCTTGTATTAACGTGTCCAGATATGTTTGTGTGTGCTTTGTAGGACATATGATGATGACATGTGCTAACACCGTCGGACATGGTGTGTTTCAGGACATACAGTGTGGTGGGGTCGAGGGTGCTGCGTCCTAACAGAGACTACCATGTGGTGGTGTCGACGCACGGGACCACGGCGCCCGTCAAGATGAATGTGGAGGTGGGCGGTAAGCAGGACGCCGGCGGGGTCATTCTTAACAGACAGCTGGCTGACCTAGAACCCGACTCTACACAGGTCGTTAACTTCCAGGTCAGTACAGGTCTTCCTCAGGTTATTTTTTACGGGTTCCTCTTAAATTAAAGTCCTCATTTTAGGGATTCAATTTGAAGTCATCAGTGTTTGGCCTTTAACTTTAGGTACGTAACTTCATCCAGTCTTCTAACCTAACCTAATAACCTAACCTAACCCAATAACCTAACCTAACCCAAGTGATTTCAAGATGTCAGTTTAATACCTTTTAACATTCAGGTCAACACACAAGCTCCTGAATTTAAGGTAATTTTCTTCAGATAGTCAAGTTTTAACAAGGTGTGCTGACATATACCCTGCACACACACACACACGCACACAAAACACCCATACACACACACACACACACACACAGACACACCACCCACACCACCCACACACAGACACCACACCCACACCACACAGACACACCACCCACACACACACACCCCACACTACACACACACACACACACACCCACACACCAAGACCTCATCATTTCACTCGGCTCCTTCGTCTACAGATAGGAGAGCTGGGTCCTGGGGATTACAACCTGACGGTGAGCGGGTTCGGCGGCCTCGTCTTCTCCAACACCACGGCCCTAGAGTACGTCCACAAGTCCTACTCGGTCTTCATACAGACGGACAAGTCCATCTACAAGCCCGGGGACATGTTGAAGTTCAGGGTGGTGGTGGTGAACCCTATGTTACGGCCTTCTGTCACAGGCGCCATAGATGTATTTATTACGGTGAGTTTGTGTGTGTGTGTGTGTGTGTATGTGTGTGAGGGTGTGTATGGAGAAGAATTTTTATCATGCACGTTAATGAAATATTTTTGGGGGAAGAGAATATTTGTAAGTAGATAAGATATCATTAATGTTTTATATTCATTAGAAACTTTTAATGATTACTTTTAATTCAAGGGTCAATAATTAACATCAGTAACTTGAATGTTTTTTTGAATTCAAGTCCTTAATCAACATGACTTAAATTACCTATAGTGATGTTTAAAAATATATATAAATAAAAAATCAGTAAAGGGTAAGATAAGTTATTTTTTGTCTCGTGGTAAAAAAATCTTAAACACTTATAAATGAAGGTTTTTAAAAGTGTACAGTTCGATTTTAATTAATTTTTGGACTGGGCTCAGCAGTACAGTGAGTGGCAGGGGACTAACGCAGCTGTATGTCGAGTATGTCTTGGTTCTCTTAATAAACACCAACCTAACCAGAGGGGGGAGAGGGTAACACAACGACTGGGGGTCCATAATGACTGGGGTCCATTACGACTGGGGTCCATAATGACTGGGGTTCATTACGACTGGGGTCCATAATGACTGGGGTCCATTACGACTGGGGTCCATAATGATTGGGGTTCATTACGACTAGGGTCCATAATGACTGGGGTTCATTACGACTGGGGTCCATAATGACGACTGGGTCCATAATGACTGGGGTTCATTACGACTGGGGTCCATAATGACTGGGGTTCATTACGACTAGGGTCCATAATGACTGGGGTTCATTACGGCTGGGGTCCATTACGACTGAGCTCTATTAAGACTGGGGACCATTTGACCATCCACCACTAAGACGATCTCCGTAACACTTCACCGCTTCCCACAGGACGGGGCGGGTCACCGGGTAAAGGAGTGGCGCCGGGTGTTCACCAACAAGGGCGTGTGGACGGGAGAGCTACAGCTGGCGGAGGAACCTGTGTTGGGCCGCTGGAACATCACCGTCGACGTCCTCGGTCAGACCACCTCCCGGGATGTCACTGTCGCCTACTATGTCCTCCCCAAGTTCGAGGTGACGGTGTCGCTGCCGCAGTACACTACCTTTGAGGAGAATGAGTTCATCGCCACCGTCGCCGCCAAGTAGGTCCTGCTGCAGAAGGAGATTAGAACGGGTAGATGGGATTGGAATTTAGGGTTAGGGGGTGGTGGGATAGGGTTAGGTTAGGGGTGGTGGGATAGGGTTAGGTTAGGGGTGGTGGGATAGGGTTAGGTTAGGGGTGGTGGGATAGGGTTAGGTTAGGGGTGGTGGGATAGGGTTAGGTTAGGGGTGGTGGGATAGGGTTAGGTTAGGGGTGGTGGGATAGGGTTAGGTTAGATGGTGGTGAGATAGGGTTAGGTTAGAATGGGTTAGATTAGGTTATGTTAGACAGGGTTAGATTAGGTTAGATTAGATTAGAGAGGGTTAGATTATGTTAGATTATGTTTGACAAGGTTAGGTTACGTTATGCTACGTTAGGTTGGATAATACTAGCCTGTACTTGACAAGAATTTAGGATCAGTGTAGTGAAATATTCCCCCTTAAAAATAAAAACAAATGTACAAAGATTAAAGAGACTATATTGTACACTCACCCAAGAAAACTATCTGTACCCTGGGTGATCGATGAGTTTCAGAATGAACACTGTGACTCCTGTTGTCTCGGTAGGGTTGTCAGAATCCTTCGTCTGTTGTGTCATATTTCTTCAACACAATTTGGTATAGATAGTTTTTTGAGTGACTGTATATTGATGAAAACCTGTAAACAAAACCCTTACTTAATGGAATAAATGGAAGGAAATTAGTGGCACAAATGTAAAGAAAATTTGTGTTTTGTGTACCACTAAACCTAACCTAACCTAACCTAACCTTTAACCCTTCGACTTGACCCAATATAACCTCCCCTGACCTAATATAACCTCCCCTGACCTAATATAACCTCCCCTGACCTAATATAACCTCCCCTGACCTAATATAACCTCCCCTAACCCAATATAACCTCTCCTGACCTACTTTAACCTCCCCTGACCTCTCATGACCTTTCCCGTGGCGCAGGTACACGTATGGCCGGCCGGTGAAGGGGGAGGTGACCTTGCAGGTGACCCCTACATACAAGTACGGTTACCTTCAGGCTCCCTACGACGACCCGATCCGTGTGGTGAAGCAGATGAAGGGCAAGACTGATGTGGTCATTGATATGCAGAATGATGCGAGGTGAGGCTTGTGGTGGTGGTGGCAGCTCTTGACGTGGGTCTTGTAGTGTTTTGAGATGTTATTGTTTATTATTCATGTTATTGTTTACATAAATACTTACATACATACATACACACACACACACACACACACACACACACACACACACACACACACACTGTCTGCCTATCTCTTCGTCTCTGTCTGTCTGTCTTTCTCTATATCTGCCTGTCTCTCTCTTTCTCATTTACTACTACTACTTCTACTATACTATACTACTACTACTACTATTAACGACTCCACCCCCTCTCCTACTACAGGTTAAAGGGTGACTACGCCAGAGAGTTGGAGGTAACAGCCTACGTAAGAGAGGAGCTGACAGGCCGGGTACAGAACGCCACCTCCCACGTCACCGTCTACCGCTACCCCTACACCCTGTCCCTCATCCGCACCTCCGATAGCTTCAAGCCTGGCCTCAAGTACACCGCCTTTGTAAGTGTCTGGGTTAAGTGGTGTTGTTAAGTGTTCAGGAAGTAGGTGCAATTACAGGTAACTTAAGTAAGTGTAAGGTGATTTTTATAAGTCGAGCCCGGGATCAGTTTCCTTTTTGTAAGTGTTAGGATTGTGAAGTAGTTTTGTAAGTGTCTTAAGAAGTTGGGATGGTTATGTAGGGAGCTGTAGTGTAGGTGTTTATGAGGAGGTAATTTTATAAGTATTGTACTAAGTGATAACTGGTGCCTTGTAGGTTAGAGTAGAGCAGCAGTTAACACCTTTTTTTTTTTAGTGGTTCTTGCAACAGCTGAAAGATTATGTAGAGCATCTAGCACTCGTGTCGTCTGTGCTGGGAATGTTCTCTCTCTCTCTCTCTCTCTCTCTCTCTCTCTCTCTCTCTCTCTCTCTCTTACAGTTGGTGCATCACAGTAACTATCACCAAGTATCTTACCACAGCTAAAATCGCCCTCCTGCAAGTTCGTTTACAATAATTATACATCGTCTCTCTACAGCTCAAAGTATCGTATCAGGACGACACTCCGGTCACGTCTGGAAATGTGACCATCCGCCATACCTTCACCAGAGACCCTGAGGGCTTCATGGAGGAGGTACACCAGATCCCATCTACAGGTATCGTCACCTTAGAGTTCATGCCCCCTTTGGAAGACGATGTACTGAGTTTGGCCCTTGAAGCACGGTACCTAGAGCTCACCCGGTGGCTTGGGGACATCATCAGGGCTCAGAGTCCCACCAATGCCTTCCTCCAGGCTACTCTCATCACACAGAACCCTAAGGTGAGTTCTCCAGCTCCTTCACGATGTTTTAAAAAGGATCCAGTTCTTTCACCAGGTCTCAAGAGTGGGTTTGGTTTCCTACTCAAAGGATTTTATAAACACTGATCCCCTCCTGTCCACGAGTTCTTTTTTAGTCTCTGTCACTTCCCGGTTCTTCCATAGAGTTCGGTATAGATTCTGGTTCTTATTTACGTAGATTTCTGTTGTTCCAATCCTTCTCTAGAGTTCTGTTTAAGTTCTAATTCTTTTCCAGATTTTTGTATAGGTTCCAATTCTTCATTAAAATTATATGTAGGTTCCAGTTCTGCAGTAGAGTTCTTTGTAAGTTCTAGTAGTTCTTTCCTACAGTTCTATACCATCTCTTCAGTTCTATGTCGAGTCGAGTTCTTCCCTAGAGCTCGGTATAAATTCCCTAGTGTTGTCCAAAGTCCTAGATTTTCCCTAGAACTCTGCACAAATGTCTAAGTCATCCCCAGAACCTTACAGATTCATCCCTCCCTTAGTACCCTATCTTAGAGTTCTTGGAAGGTCTGATTAGCTGATCCAATCGTTAATTTTTTTCCTAATCTTCCTTTTGAAATATTTTATTCTTGTTTATATTCTCAGTGTTTTTGTTTCCGTAAGAATATTCTTCAGTCTTATTGTTTTTCTACATAATTACGATATTTTCAACCATAATTTTTGTCTTTAACCAGAATTTCTGTTATTTACTCTACTTTCAACCAATAATTTCCATCTTTAACCAATATTTGTCTATTACCTTAACGTTCAACCAATAATTTTCAACTACAACCAAAAATTACTGTTGTTAATTTTACTTTCAACCAAAATTTCCATATTTAACCCAAATTTATCAATTACCATTCACCATTAAAAATTACAAATTTATCTTTTCCAACTATATTTAACATTTCAAATCAACGACTATAATTACCTTAATCATGTGAGGTTAACTATCTTGTTCAATAATTATTAGTCGTTTCTTTGTATGTACAGTCACTCAAAAAAAAACTATCTATACCCTGGGTGATCGATGAGTTTCAGAATGAACACTGTGACTCCTGTTGTCTCTGTAGGGTTGTCAGAATCCTTCGTCCTTTTTGTCATATTTCTTCAACGCAATTTGGTATAGATAGTTTTTTGGGTGACTGTACATGACTCATTTAGTAACTTGTTCTCCTATACGTGTGTGTGTGTGTGTGTGTGTGTGTGTATCTTGTATTCTCTGTCATCTTGTTATTTTGTCATTTCATATTTTTTCAGTATTGTTTAATTTATGGTTAATGGACTGACCTTATCTAGACTGAATTAGACTTGATGACTGAACTGCCGTATCTTAATGACTGAACAAGACTCCCTAATGACTGACTTGGCTTATCTTGATGATTAAACTAGCCTATCTGATGACCTGAACAACCCTATTCATAACAAACAAACAACTAAAATCCCCCTTAACGATCGAACTACCTCATTACCTTCCTCTAATGATTGAACTGATGACCTGAAATACCCTATTCATAACAAACCGAACTACTGTACCTAAAAAAAAAAATCCCCGTTAACGACCGAAAACTACCCAATTACCTTCTGTTAATGACGCAACAGCTCTTATCATAGGCAGTAAGAGACAGATATGATTACTGCCTTACTATTATTGCATGAGTTACCTATCTAATGCTGCATGATTTCATCCCCCCATTCCCTCCCCTCTCCATACCAACCCCCTCCTCCCCTCTCCCCCCCTCCCTCCCTCTTCCTCCATCCCTTCCCTGCATGGTTCATCGTGACGTCAACATCAGGTCGGGCAAAGACATCACAGGTCGGTATGTTCCTCGTCTCTCTCTCTCTCTCTCTCTCTCTCTCTCTCTCTCTCTCTCTCTCTCTTCCCTTATTTATTATTCCCCCTTTTGGTACCACTATTCCCGTTGGTACCACACTGTAACTCTAATGGTACACCCCTCTCTTGTTTTTGGTACCATTATCCCTTTGGTACCATACTGTAACTATGGTATTCTATGGTATCCCCCCTCCCTTGTTTTTGGTACCACTATCCCCTTCTGGTACCACACTGTCCCCTACCTCCTCCCTTGGTATATTATACTCTATTTGGTACCACATTACCCCCTTTGATGCCACACTATACATCCTTTGGCATCACACTGCACCCCTTTCCTTTTGGTATCTCACTCTCCCCCTTTGGTACCTCCTTCTCCCCCTTTGGTACCTCCTTCTCCCCCTTTGGTACCTCCTTCTCCCCCTTTGGGTACCCTACTTCTCCCCCCCTTTGGTACCTACCTTCTCCCCCTTTGGTACCTCCTCCTCCCCCTTTGGTACCTCCTTCTCCCCCTTTGGTATGAGAACCCACAGTCGAGAAGTATTGACCATTTCTAACTGAATATGAAGGAAATTTTTTACTTGCATGTCTAAATAAAAATAAAAATAACAATATAATGATACAATTTCAATTACCATACTGATGCTATTAAGTTTTATCCACGCACATAAATTATAATATATATTTTATTTTATTAGTCTAGGTCTTTAGGAGTGAAAATTATGATATGTTTTATTTTTAACTCGTGGAAGTGTTGCCCCGTGTCGATTCCATAAGGATGTTATGTTCACTATGACCTTGTTCTTGTATGCTTGTTTGTTTGACCTTTCCCCCCGGGGTCAACAGGTGGGGGAACCTGTAGAGGTAGGCCTCAACGCCACACAGCCTATGGTCTACTTCGTATATGAGGTGATAGGTCGTGGGGATGTCCTCTTCGCCGATACCCTTCAGGCTCATAAGGGAACCACCCATTCCTTCAGGTGAGTGAGTGAGTGATAGACAGCCTTACTCACCTTCCTAATGTACAGTGTCACCGATAAAACTAATAATTGTGTTAAATAAATAGTCCGATCATAATGGAATTGAAGTAAATAAGAAAAAAATAGTTATTCACTACATAAACAGACGGATTAGTCAATAAGTGATAAAAAAAGGGTAATTTTATCTGATATGAGAGGTGGAATAACTCGCGTGGTGTTACAGGTTCGTGGCCACACCGTCCATGGCACCAAGGGCTCGTCTGGTGGTGTACTACGTGCGTGAAGATGGTGAGATGGTCGCTGACTCCCTTCACTTCGCTGTCTCCGGGGCCATCCAGAATGATGTAGGTTCCTCCCTCACCTTGATAACCCGGTGCTTTACATAGAGTAAATACTTTTAAGTTTCCATTATTTTAGAAGCGGATCCAAAAAATTTCATAAAATGTGAATATTTAGTATATTTCTAATCATACCTTAAGTCAGATGTATATAAAAATTTTAATATCTACATTTATTAAGGCCAAAAAATCATGTAAAATCACACAACAATAAATAAATCATGTACACTATAAATAAACACGTATTATGCAAAAACCAAACTGTTGCAGGTGTTTGTGAATCTGACCCCCAACACGGTGGAGCCAGGCGGTGACGTAGCTATCACAATCACCACCAAACCCAACTCTTTTGTGGGTGTGTTGGCCGTGGACCAACGAGCCCTGATGCTTGGCAAACACAACCACTTCTCACAGGTCGGTATATGTGTGTGCAAGACCTCTCTGTGATCTACCTTTTGTGTTAGTCAGGATTACCGTTTAGTTTAAGGCATATATGTTAAGCTTAGATCATACACCAATCAGCTTAGGGCATACACCAATCATATGAAACAGCTTAGGGCATTTATGTTAACCTTAAATCATACACCAATCAGCTTAGAGCATAAATGTTAACCTTAGATCATACACCAGTCAGCTTAGAGCATAAATATTAAGCTTAGATCATACACCAATCAGCCTAGGACACATACACCATTTCTTTTAATATAGAGAGCTTGTATAATATTCTAAAACCATACTAATATACTCACAAAGGATAAAAATATGTTCTGGTATGATTAGACGTTCCTGTGAGTTCCCAAGATCGTCAATACCCCCCCATACGTCTGTTTCTACCCGGGGCTGTTGAGGGGTAGTGGATGTACTGGTTGATGATGTGAGGCGTTTGTGTAGGTTCAGCCTCTGCAGACAGCGCCACGCCTAGATGGTATTACTGCGTCACCGTATATAAAATAGATGCCTGGATACACCTCGTCATAGGGTTCCAGGGTTGGGTGTACATTATCTTGGAGGTCTCATAACATCTATCTATCTAACAACTGTCAATTTACCTCTCACCTCCCGATTTACCTCTCACTTCCCGATTTACCTCTCACTTCCCGATTTACCTCACACCTCCCGATTTACCTCTCACCTCCCGATTTACCTCACACCTCCCGATTTACCTCACACCTCCCTCATTTAGCTCACATGGGGATGCTACCAAAACGAGCTTGAATTCCACTGTGTGTCTATATTCATGTACACTTATGATGCCCTGTTTTAACCCTTGTGGTATGACGTTAAAGTTCAGAAGTAAGGTGTAGATGGGTGTATTCTGGATGTATCGTAAGTGTGCAAAGGTGTCTTAGCTGTATTCCTGTATCTTGAGTGCATATTATATGTATGATTATGTATCCCTTGTATCTAACTTACCGAGTCGTGTATGCATGTATGTGTCAGGAAGAGGTGGTAGAGGAACTGGAGAACTACGATCCAGGCCGCAGGAACCTCGAAGGCCCTTGGTTCAATCTACGCCGTCGTAAGAGGGCTCTGTTCAACTGGCACGGCACCACTACCGCCAACGATGTATTCAAGGTTAGTGTGTTGCTAAGGTCACGAATTTAATGACATATAGACCATAGATTAATTTTTATGTTGTGTTTGTTGGGGAGATGATTTTGTTGACATCTAATAGAACAGGAAATTATGATATTATTATATTGGTGCAAAAATATTATCTATACCCCCCCCCCACCACAACGAAGTAGTAAGAATGTGTGAATGACTGCTAATGGTGTGTGTGTGTGTGTACTCTTATTACAGCCACTTGCAGACACTTTAACAGGAGATGGTTAGAGAGTCAAGGAAGAGGATATTCACTTAAGTATAAAATCCATCCTAGCTTAAAACATTATCCTGTGAATTACGATCTCAAACACCAAACCTAAGTCTCTCTTCTGCCAAAATCTTTCATTAAAATCTCAAAAAAAGACCCAAGTCTCTTCTGCCAAAATCTTTCATTAAAATCTCAAAAAAAAACCCAAACCAAGTCTCATCTGCCAAAATTTTTCATAAAAATCTCAAAATACCAAGCCAAAGTGTCTCTTCTGCCAAAATTTTTCATCCAAACCACAAAATCAATGTTTGAGGTTCCGGTATCATGTTAAAGATCATTATTACTAATTTATTATGTTATTATTACAGAACGCCGGTGTGGTTGTGCTTACCAATGGTTTAGTTTATGACTTCAACCCATTCTGTGAGTACCAATGTCTGTCGTCTACTCCACAACATAATGCTGTTTTAATCTTGATACTTGATACTGTTTTAATATTGATACTGTTTTAATATTTATATAAACCTTAACTGTACAATAACCGACCTTAGAGAAATCATGAAACAATATAAATGGTTAGAAAAAGTAGGATTATTAATTAGTAAAGGATTTATATGGATAATTATGTTACAAATTATAGTTGGATTAATGAAGAATGAACTATGATTGTGTCTAAAAGATGTTGTGTTGCAGTATGGTGAGTGTGTTGGGCTGTAGTATGGTGAACATATAACACTGTAATCTACTTTAGATATATTATGCTTTGTGTGGCCTCCTAACTTGTAGTAATGTACTTAACTGTAGTAACTTAACAAACTCACTTTTCTTAGTTAGAGAATTAGAGTTGAATGGTGACTTTCCTTAGTTAGAGAATTAGTTACAGAGTTGAATGGTGACTTTCCTTAGTTAGAGAATTAGTTAGAGTTGCATGGTGACTTGTAAGTAATAGGTTCGTGGGTACTTGAGTCTTAGGGCAGGACTTGTTGAGTAAGACTTCAGCTAACATGTGAGAGAGAGAGAGAGAGAGAGAGAGTCTTATCTGTCTCGACTGAACTTACCTGGGCCCCGATGTGGGATGGTCAATTGGGCCCCGGTGTGGGATGGTCAAATGGGCCCCGATGTAGGATGGTCAAATGGGCCCCAGTTCTCATGATTCTTGGTCTGTTTGATTAGGTTTGTCCTCCATTAGAATTGTGGCTCATCAGGTCTCTCTCCTAATGCAGTAGCCAGGTTAGGTTAGTAAAATAGTATTTTTAGGGCTTAATTAAATTTCCTGGAATAATTTGACTCAGGATGTTGGTTCAGATAAAAGTAGAGGTGAAGTTTACAGCCAGTGGGTGGAGCTTAGTAGTGAGTGGGTGGAGCTTAGCAGTGAGTGGGTGGAGCTTCGTAGTGAGTGGGTGGAGCTTCGTAGTGAGTGGGTGGAGCTTCGTAGTGAGTGGGTGGAGCTTAGTAGTGAGTGGGTGGAGCTTAGTAGTGAGTGGGTGGAGCTTAGTAGTGAGTGGGTGGAGCTTAGTAGTGAGTGGGTGGAGCTTAGTAGTGAGTGGGTGGAGCTTAGCAGAGAGTGGGTGGAGCTTAGCAGTGAGTGGGTGGAGCTTAGCAGTGAGTGGGTGGAGCTTAGTAGTGAGTGGGTGGAGCTTAGCATACAGTGGTTGGATATTAACAAAGAATGGGTAAAGCCTAACAAAGTGAATGCTACTTGGTAATGCATGGAAGGATTCTAACACAGTAGGAGGAGCTTATTGTAAAGTGGGTGGAGCCTTAGATGAAGTGGGTGGAGCCATTGATAAAAAGTGGGTTGAGTATAAAGGTAAATATATAAAGCTTAGCAAGGAAGGAAGACAGTGTTGGAGAAATGAAAGGAGGTAGAACACAGTGCCCCTCCCACGTGTGCTGAAGGCTTAGTGTTATACCCACACTCTCTCTAACGGGTCACCAGGCCTATGGATCCCACTCTCCCTTCATTTACTTTAGTGCTAATACAGTAGCAGCAACCACCCACCCCTTCCACTTTGTACTAACCCGTGTGCTTGTGTACTGTACTAACTCCTGCTTGGCCCTAGTGTACTACCGGACGATACTGGACGACCCCCGGGACCTTAGGGCCATGGAGTCGCAACTCCCACCGGCGACACTGGTGCCGCACCCACAAGTAGCCGTCCGCACCCGCTTCCCTGAGACCTGGATCTTCAGCGATGCAGACTCAGGGTACGGCGGCACCCAACCAGGAAGTCTTGGCCACCTTCTCTTGGAACTCTGGACCTCCTTTGGGACATCCTGGCATCCCGTTTGGGACTCTTGCATATCCTCCAACGGACTCTACCCCTTTGGGACTTTTGCTCTCCTACTAGACTGTAGCACGCACCTCTTAGACTACACTAGACTATCCTTTAAGGACTCTTGCACACTCAATGGACTTTATCAACTCTTTGGAACTCATTTATCACTTCCGTTGTGTATCTCTGTTGCCTCCAAGATTCCCAGAACCTTCTGTAATACCCTCTTAGACTCTTATCACGGTTACTTGACTCCTACCTCCTGTAAAGCCTATCTCGACTGTAAGACTTTTGGCAACACTGTGGGACTATACACAATATCACACCTCGTCTGTCTGCTCTGCCCTCAACCTACTGTGGGAGTCTAAAAGGAGTAGCGATCTCTTCTGTAGATCTTTAGGGCCACTGTGAGAGACCTTATCATTCTGTAGATCTCTTCTGTAGGTCCCTAGTGTCATGTCAGGGTTATGTAGTATACTTGAAGCTTTATCTATGGGACTCCTTTGCATCCATGTAGTAGTTATGTCAAAGCTTAAGCTCTGAAGTTTTTCTCATGCATGAAACTTCCGACCACCTGTTTAGTGTCAGCAACAACCTCACAGATTGAACAACAGCAGCGTAGTTCATGGCAACATAAGAGTAACTCAAGACCACATAGCAACATAACAGAGTAACTCAAGACCACATAGCAACATAACAGAGTAACTCAAAACACCATAGCAACATAACAGAGTAACTCAAGACCACATGGCAACATAACAGAGTAACTCAAAACACCATAGCAACATAACAGAGTAACTCAAGACAACATAGCAACATAACAGAGTAACTCAAAACACCATAGCAACATAACAGAGTAACTCAAGACCACATAGCAACATAACAGTAACTCAAGACCACATAGCAACATAACAGAGTAACTCAAGACCACATAGTAACATAACAGAGTAACTCAAGACAACATACACAGGATAACATGGTGTAGGGAGAGGCCTCATAGTATGGTGAAGGACCTATTATACTGTGGCATAAATTTAGACTATGACTCGGAAGAAAAAGATGGAGAAAAGGTTAAGATAAATTATGTTGGTCTGGAGTGCTGATGAAGTTAAAAGAATGTGATGTTTCCCTCAAAAATGAATTCGTGTCCTTCAAATACTTCAACCATCACAGTTGTCTTTGGCTGGTAGGGAACTGTTGCCTTTAGAACTGCCGTGTGTCCAGCTCGGTGAAGTGAACTCGATGTAAAGAAGCAGTAACGAATCGACTTCATATGACTTTCTTCACTACTTTGCCAGACGTTACAAAGACATTCAGCTACTGTGGCAATAAAGGTGTCCATTATCAGACGTGTGGGATAACGATAGTTACTACTGGACGAGACGTGTGACTGATGTGTTACTGTGACATATGTGGTCCTCACTACCACACGTGTTATGTGAAGTGAGGTGCTCTAGTGTACAGTGCTCACCAATAGCCTATGAGGGCAGGATGTCCTCACACATGACCACCACCCGGGATAAACAAGAGAGTAAGAGGCTGCGGCACCCAGTAGGTAACCGAGCCATTGTTCTCAGTATGGCGGGTTACCTGACTACCAATACCAATGACCGACTGTTTTCTCTATAGCGTTGTGCTTCTCTATTCCATTCCTCATAAAACCTAATCGACTAAAACACGTTGTTAACATCGTCACTGATCGTACAATACAGTCTGGCTTTGTATTTAAAGGTCGCTTTTCCAGAAGAGGTGGGCATTAACCGTACTGGCTTCACCGTACAGCACCGCCACACTACCCACTAACTTGGTGGTGGGAATGATGTACAGTCGGGGTCAAAAGTTCGCTCCCTCCCAAACTGAAGCAGCATCGACCCCAAATGAGATAAAACAACACACATGAAACAGGGTAAGTCAGTTCGGAGACTCATTCCCGTGACTCGGTTTCACCACGAGGAGCGAACTTCTGTCCCAGACTGTACTTAAAAGTTAAACCGGTGACCATGGGTTTCATGCTGTGTGTGTGTGTGTGTGTGTGTGTGTGTGTGTGTGTGTGGATCATAGGTAGAGTATATGGTGTAGCACAAGATGGTGCAGCAGCATGAGTAACAACCCTGCCCCTACAGTGGCCAATATGCTGCCCGTGGGTGAGGGCCCCATTGACGGGTCACCTTGGGACCCACACCGACGACCTGCCGCCATCAATGGCTCCTTCTTCCGAGAGTTTGCCCCCATGGAAGGGTCGACGATGCGGCCTGACCTTGGGCCTGGCCTGGCCTATAATGCCCCAACCAGGCCGCCCCTCGCCGGCCCCTATGCCTTCTCCTACCTGCCCCCACCACCTGACAACCGCCCACGCGTGTACCTCAACCAGGCTGCCCCGCCCACCTGGCTCTTCATCGATGCCCAGACCAAGTGTGTGATGAACGATGCCCACATACTCCCCTCCCCGGCCACTCCCCCTCCCACACATAACCTTCACACTCCACGCGCAGCTGTAGTATGCGACAGCCTTTACCACACCATCATGCACACACTAACAACAACTATTATCATGAGAACTATGTGTTGTAACCTCCCTAACTGAAGACATGTATGAATCAGGCTGTTTAAAAAAAAATGAAATGTACTCCTATCACCTTAAGTATATATTGTGTATATTACTGATCAATCATATTATGGAAGATAGATGTTCAATGTTATATAGACTGACGGTGTGTGCGTGTCAGGTTCAACGGGGTGGTGACGCTGAGAGAGAAGGCACCAGACGCCATGACCTCCTACATGATCTCTGCTTTCGCCGTTGATGACTTCCACGGCCTGGGGGTCACCAAGCAGCCCTCCAAGGTCAGTGGCTCACCTCTTGGGTAGTTCACCTGTACCCATACACTAACACCCCCTTCTTCATGACCTTGTATTTCACTTGTTTATTACTTGTACCGTATTTGTTCAAGTTCTGTGATGTATGTCACCCAACCCAACCCCACCTACCCCACCCCACCCACCCACCACCACCCACCCCACCACCACCCACCCACCCACCACCACCCCACCCACCCACCCACCCCACCCCACCCCACCCCACCCCCACCACCACCCCACCCCTCCACCACCACCCCACCCACCCCACCACCACCCCACCCACCACCCCACCCCACCCCACCCCACCACCACCCCACCCCACTCCACCACCACCCCACCCCATGACTGACTCTCTGCCTACCCACCTTACAGCTACAAATCTTCAGGCCATTCTTCACGTCGGTACACTTACCTGAGGCTGGAGTGGTACGAGGGGAGGCGGTGGCGGTGGAGATGGTCGTGTTTAACTACGGCGACGAGGACCTTACTGCCGATGTCACTCTGGATAATCTCAAGGGGGACTTCCTTTTCGCTGATTTTGTTAACGAGATCGACCAGGGCTGTGAGTTGACCCGTGTTCGTTCGTTCGTTCAGTGTTCCCGTGTTCAATATTTCATTACAGTCTGTATGATAATGTGGATGATGTCACTGCCTGTATATAATGTGGTGGATGATGTCACTACCTGTATTATGTTATGGATGATGTCACTGCCTGTATGATAATGTGGTGGATGATGTCACTACCTGTATGATAATGTGGATGATGTCACTACTTCTATGAAACTGTTATGGATAATGTCACTACTTGTATGATAATGTTGTCGATGATGTCACTACCTATATTATATTATGGATGATGTCACTACCTATATTGTTATGGATGATGTCACTACCTATATTGTTATGGATGATGTCACTACTTACAGTATAATATTATAATGTGGATGATGTCACTACCTGTATTATGTTATGGATGACGTCACTTACCTGTATGATAATTATGTTGGCTGCTATGGATGATGTCACTGTCTGTATTATGTCATGGATGATGTCACTAATCCAATATTCACCTACGACAGCACCGTCAGGAAGAAAAACGCGGCAGGTGCAAGTACCGGTAGGAGGTGGAGTGCCCGTGAGCTTCATGGTGGTGCCGGAGACTCACTTGACATCACCGTCACTGCTACTGCCGGCGCCGCCATTGATGTTGTGACCAAGAAACTCCTGGTCAAGGTCTGTGGCTCCTGCTTCTGTATCGGTTAAGAGAGGGTGAGAGGAGGGTGTGTGAGAGGGAGGGTGAGAGGGAAGGATGGAAGGAAGGAAGGAAGGAAGGAAGGAAAATTATCAACAATTTAGTCATAATAGGGATAATCTACATTCTAAATCCACACTAGAGAGGTGTTAAATAAATAATCCGACCGGTAACCCCCGACCTCACCACCCCTGCTAACCCCCGACCTCACCACCCTGCTAACCCCCGACCTCCACCACCCCTGCTAACCCCCGACCTCACCACCCTGCTAACCCCCGACCCCACCACCCCTGCTAACCCCCGACCTCACCACCATGCTAAAACCCCCGACCTCACCACCTCCTGCTAACCCCCGACCTCACCACCCCTGCTAACCCCCGACCTCACCACCTGCTAACCCCCGACCTCACCACCCCAACCCCCGACCTCACCACCCCTGCCAACCCCGACCTCCCACCACCTGCACCCCCGACCTCACCACCTCCTGCTAACCCCCGACCTCACCACCCCTGCTAACCCCCGACCTCCCACCCCCTGCTAACCCCCCGACCTCCCCACTGCTGACCTCCCACCCCTGCTAACCCCCGACCTCACCACCCCTGCTAACCCCCCGACCTCACCACCCTGCTAACCCCCGACCTCCCACCACCCCCCCTAACCCCCGACCTCACCACCCCTGCTACCCCCCTACCTCACCACCCTTGCTAACCCCGACCTCCCACCACCCTGCTAACCCCGACCTTACCACCCTCTAACCCCCGACCTCACCACCCCTGCTAACCCCCGACCCCACCACCTCTAACCCCCGACCCCACCACCCTCCTAACCCCGACCCCACCACCCCCTCCCCTGGCCCCCGCCCACCACCCCTCCTAACCCCACCATTTACCTCACACAGCCCGAAGGAACGAGGATGACTGTCAACAAGGCGCTTCTGCTAGACCTCCGCTCAGAGTCCAGCTTCAGTACCAGCATCAATATCACCACCCCGCCTAATATTGTCAACGGGTCCCGGGCTGTCATTGTCAATGTCATTGGTGAGTGTCTTGTTCTTGGGTTGGGTTGGGTTGGGTTGGGTTGGGTTAGAGTTGGTTGGGTGGGTTAGTTGGGTTGGGTTGGGTTGGGTTGGGCTGGGTTGAGTTGAGCTGGGTTGGGTTGGGTTGGTTGGTTGAGTGGGGGGCTGGGGCTGGGTTGAGGTTGGAGCTGGGCTGGGTTGGGTTGGGTTGGTAAGGTTGGGTTAGGTTGGGCTGGGTTGGGCTGGGCTGGGTGGGTTGGCCTGGGTTGGGTTGGGTTGGGTTGGCTGGGCTGGGCTGGGCTGGGCTAGGCTGGGCTGGGCTGGGCTGGGTTGGGTTGAGTTGGGTTTAGTTGGGTTAGGTTTATCGTTTATAGTAAGAAACTAATGCATATTTACCCATTGTTTGCTTTGTTTTCCTGGCCGTTGATAGCTTAGGTCATTACGGCCAATTTATATTGTGACCGTGATGTGGTTTAATTTAATCATTGTTTTAAGAGATGTGTTCAGAGTCCTGTAGATTTATAAATAATTGACTAAATTCCTTCTTTGTTTTGATGTGACGTGTTGTTGTTGTGTTGCAGGAGACGTGTTGGGTCCTGCCGTAACTGACCTACACAACCTGTTGGAGTTGCCGACCGGCTGTGGTGAACAGAACATGGCCAAACTCGTCCCTAACATTGTTCTTATGGAGTACCCTAAGGTTCGTGCTGGGACCACACCTCTATTATACTCTTCTTTAGGGCTTATATTTACAGGGTTAGTGGTTCAGGGGTTCCTAAGGGTTCACAGCCACGTAATAAGTGGTTCAGGGGTTCACAAGGGTTCACAGCCACGTAATAAGTGGTTCAGGGGTTCACAAGGGTTCACAGCCACGTAATAAGTGGTTCGGGGTTCCAAGGGTTCACAAGATCAGGGGTTCATAAGGGTTCACAGCTACAAGATTAGGGGTTCATAAGGGTTCACAGCCACAAGATCAGTGGTTCACAGGGTTCACAGGGTCAGGGGTCTACAAGGGTTCACAACCACAAGATCAGGGGTCCACAAGGTTCACAGGGTCAGGGGCTCACAAGGGTTCACAAGGCCAGGTCATGAAGGTTCAAAATATCAATTGGAGATGAACCATAGGTTATTAGACTTAAAGGTCAAAGGTGAAGGTCACAATAGATGAAGGTCAGTAGGAGGTTACCAGGTCAGTAGGGAGAGTAACCAGGTCAGTGAGGAGGATACCAGGTCAGTGGGGAGAGTAACCAGGTCAGTGAGGAGGTTACCAGGTAGTGACAGGGGGAATTACAGCGTATCAATGAAGATGGTGAAAGACGACTAACTCTAACTCTTACAGAACAAGAATCAGCTGAGCGATGCGATGGGGGCGGCCAAGCGTAACTCAGAGACAGGCTATCAGCAGCAGCTCAACTACCGCCGTCAGGATGGATCATTCAGCGCCTTTGGTACCAGAGACGAGTCCGGCAGCACCTGGTGAGTGTTGTCTTGTGTGGCTGTCTGTGTGGGCTGATAGTAATTCTTGTTGGTGACTGTAGTGTACTGTATGTGGTCTACCGAGCTGGAGTTGAGTCTACCGAGATATTTAACACTGTAGCATCCATTAGTCTAATCTAACCTGTATATAAGATTGTAGCAGTGGTGTTAGTTAGGGTATTTTTATTGCGAGATTTGGTTACTTTAGTAGTTAAATAGAGTGCGTCTATTAACAGTTTGAGTATATTGGTTAATGATAGAAAATTAATGTTATATTTTAATTGTTCATTCCATTATTAGATATATAAGAATTTTAGCTCATTGGAATAAAAATAAAATAAACAGAATGAGAACTTGACTGAGATAATCCATATGAGAGAGAACTCACGTTACCTTGGCTGACAGGTTGACAGCGTTTGTGATCAAGTCGCTGGCTGAGGCTAGTCGACACATAGACGTGGAGCCAGAGGTGTTGAAGGGAGCATTGGAGTGGCTCATACCTCTACAACAAGCGAATGGCTCCTTCTCTGAGGTTGGCACCGTTAACAATGAGGCCATGCAGGGCGGTGCCTCCCAGGGTGTCCCCCTCACCGCCTACGTCACCATCGCTCTCCTCACCGTGCAGGTATAATATCTTCACGTCACCTCCCGTCTGTTCTCATCACAATTACTGCACCGATTCCATTACACTCGAGTCCTCCACATTAAAATATTCTCTACTTGGCTGTCCTTCCGTCTGAGAAATGATGAATATAATCTGAATACAGTATTTAATATTAATGACCAATTGACCATGATTAATAAAAAGGTTTAGTTCATAGATATAATTATAATCGTACCACCATGAACACCGCTGGGACACAACCCTCAATATAATGATGACTCCCACCACCTCCTCAGCGACCTCCGACGGCCAAGGTGCGTAATGTGGTCAACCGGGCGGTGGACTTCCTCGCCTCTGGTCTGGATAACATTGAGGAATTCTACAGCCTAGCCATCACCACCTACGCTCTCCACCTGGCTGATCACCCTCTCAGAGACGCTGCCTTTTATAAGCTCGAGGGCAAGGCCAATGTTGAGGGTAAGGCTCCAATGTGGCAAGTTTTACATGCTCAAACACGACGACTCGACAAAAATAAAACTTACTTTGGTTACTGAAAACTGATCCATTTTTCACTTAATTAACTAGTTGTGCCAGTTAAAGTATGTTGTTATCTTGTCAGACTTAAACAATACGACACTAGACGGGAGATCGTGTTTCATTGTCAGTGAAATTATTTATCAACATCAAAACATTAGGGGAGAAGATATTGTGATATTTGTAAACTATCAGGACTTACCTATGAGAGAGCTATATCAATTCTATATATCAGATTCACCCGAAACCACACACACACACACACACACACACACACATACACACACATACCTGTACACACACACACAAAGACAGTACCTTACACCTCTGACCCACTCATTATACACCACCTGTGTCTCTAAAGCACCATGGACTGCTAGAAACTTAAATTAAACAAATATTAAACATAAATTAAATGTGAAAAAAAAAATGACCAACATTACTGTACACACTTTGTACTCAAATGTACTGTACAGTACTACACTAGACTAAAAAAAATATCTCTTGTGCAAACTATGTGATGTTTGTACTCAAATTAATCACTATCTTACAAGGATTCCAGCAATGCAGTCTGTTAAATCTAGTCAGCGACATTTTATAAGATAAAAACTGTAAGCCTAAAACTAGCTTCACCCTGGCTGTCTCTCTCGCAGGTAAGGAGAAGTGGTGGTCGTCAGGAGAGATGAAGAGAACACATGAGACCTTTATTGACTCGCTGCCCCTGGACGTAGAGGCCACTAGTTACGCCCTCCTCACTTACGTCTCCCGTGACCTGACCCGTGACGCCCTACCCATCATGCAGTGGCTGGTCAGACAACGGAACCAATATGGCGGTTTCCAGTCCACACAGGTAAGGTCAGGTCACCAGTTAGTTCATATATACAGGTAATGTCCGTAAATACAGGTAAAACAGGGAAAAGACTCGGGTGACGTAAGATGTAACGACAGTACATAAGTTATCGTAAAGTACCGGTGTAGGACGCAATTTACTCCAGCCAGAGAATGCATGAAAATGGTGTTTAAACATATTAATAAATTAGCAATACTATAGTGGGTGGAATAATTTAAAGGGTCAATAAATAACTACCTATTGTGAAATTTTCGACATTACGGAATAATCAAAATCTTTAACAAATCCAATGAAGCTGAGGTACAGAATACAGTATTAGGCTGACAAACTTTTTCTCATCAGTTTGAAAATTAAGGTGTTTTAATGCCTCTAAAGGTTGATACTAACTAATACAGTGGTCCTGAAAGTGGTGGGGAGGGGGGGCACTGTGGTATTTTGGAGACAGGTTGTGACACTGGTATGTATGGCCAAGTTTAAATCAGTTTTAAAGTAGATTTCATTAAAAATTGTTGTTGCAGGACACAGTGGTGGGCATGACGGCACTGGCAGCTCTGGCGGGCAAGCTGACGACGACTGACCCACAAGTCAATGTCCGACTCATCTACGGCGCCCGGGGGAAGAACCTACAGGTCACTCGGTCCAACACGATGCTCCTCCAGCGTTTTGAGGTATGTGTGTGTGTGAACTGATTCTGAAATACTCCCCCCAAAGTGTCATTTTTTTTAGTGTTAGTAAACTGATAATATAAAGTACTTACATGTTTCTTCTTACCGCAGTTACCAAGTGACACAGAGAAGGTAGAGCTAACAGCGTCAGGATCAGGGGTGGCGGTGGTGCAGGTAACGTATCACTACAACGTGAGGGTGACGGGGCCCAAACCTTCCTTCTCCCTTGACCCGCAGCTGGATATCACCACGGATGCCAACCGCCTCAGACTCACAACCTGTACCGGGTTAGTGCACAACGTCGACTTAAAGAAGAATTTGGTTAATATGTTGACTTTATGACCCATCTGGCATCATTTCCATCTTGCGTTTGTTGTTGTTTGAAGAGATAGTGCAACACATAAACACGTCTTATTAAAACTATATGCAGCTAATAACTGAGGTGTACAGGACAGTTAATAAAGTGGTATAGTATAGGTCATATATATTAGATATGAACTGACGTAAAATTTAGCCATAAGCCGTAATATACAAGACAGATTTGCAATTTTAACTCCTAAGCTTCAGATTCACGTTCTTCATATGTTGAGTACCTACAGTTCATCATGTGACTCACGTTAGGTTCACTTTTGGTACATAGCAGGCAACTCAAGCAATATGGCGGTCATGGATGTCTCTCTTCCTTCAGGGTACATCGTTGATAATGATCTTATACCTGGTGAGTGGCCTAAGTCTTTATGATTCCTAGTGAGTGGCCCCCAGGCTTATGTCCCGAGTTGTCAAGTAGAAAGGTCATGGGGGAAGGCAGTGACTGGGATGGATGAATGAAATTAAAAACAGCCCGAGAACGTTTAGAATGGAGGACTGTGGTCGCCAACCCTCAGATATGTCGACGGTACTCTGATTGAGTTTGTCGTATGTATATTACAATAAGGTTGTGTGTGTGTGTGTGTGTAAAGCAGTTGTGGCCAAATGTAGCCAAATAACATTGTGTTTGTGTTGGGCAGGTGTGTAGTATATCAGATATGGCCAAATGTATAATACGGTCAGCTGCTTGTATGTCTCGGCAGGTGTGTCGTATTATAAGTGTGACCAAGGGTATATATATAACAGTATTTGTGTTGGTCAGGTCTGTACGACTACACGGGGGTGAAGCTGGTGGAGAAGAAGCCGGACGACTCTGGGGTGGTGGTGTACTTTGACTTCCTCACCCCGACGGAAGTGTGCCCCACCGTCGTCGCCTACAGGGTCAACAAGGTGGCTTTCCAGAAGGCCTCGTCTGTCCGCGTCTACGACTACTACGATACGTGTAAGTACTGTTCTACTCCCGTGTGAAGAGAGTTCAGGAATGGTCGTTTTAAAGTCCACATCTGACGGCATTATTACTGTATCAAGATGGCAGTTTGATAATTAAGAAAAAACTAAGATAAATCCTCCATTATATTAGAGATGAGAGGATGATGGTAGATATATTAATGGGTAAAACTAAAGATAGAGGTCCAGGGTAGGTTGATGCTGACAAGTGTGTTAGGAAGTCGAAGTAATTTATATAACCTTTTACTCTTCCATAATAAACATGTCATGAGGCGGAGTTAAAAAGGTGTTTGGAACTGTTATCGTATTTGTTGTTGATAATGTACAGGAAACGCCATATAGTATCAGGTACCATTTGTGTATGTAAAGGGTTAGTAGAGGTGCTGCTTATTGGGAAGGTCTGAGTCACCCCCGTGTGTCCCTACAGCTCGCCAGGCCCGTCAGTTCTACAAAGCTCTGCCCGCAACACTCTGCGACATCTGTGACCTGGACGAGTGTGACCCCGGCCAGTGTGAGCAACAGATTATTGAATTGAATCGACAACAACAGGTGAGTACTTGGACCTCTGTTTATTATTATACCTGTTTACACATCAGCTGCTGTACCTGTAATCACTCAGTTACACATTATTGTACAGTAATGCGTGAGAAGTGGAACAAACTTCAAATTTCTCTGTCGGACTAAAAGAGGTATGTTCATTATGGACTGTAGTAAAGTGAAGTCTTGCGAAGATGAGAAAGAAAAAGCTTGACACAAATACTAAATGTTTACTTTACGCTGCAGGACCCAGAGGATATAGAGCGGCCAGCCACGGTGACGGAGGTAGCTGCTGGGGTGATGAGCAGCCCTACAACCCTCCTCACTGTCATCACTTTCTTGGCCACGACCCTCCTTCACCGACACTATTATTAGTGCTCTTCTCTCGCCTCCCCGTCCACTCCCATGCCCCTGCTTCCTCCGCCGGTCATCTCATGCACACATGCTAACAAAAAAAAGGAGCACATATTATACATAATATGAATCCTAAGGTGTTAGCCCTGGAAATTCCTTGCAACGTAAAAAAATGACTTAGGTTACTAACATCCTGTTCCTACAATCGGGGAGAGTAATAGTAATTTTTTGGTCTTAAAAGGCAGGTAGTATAATGTCAAAGTCTTCTCAGTCACACACACATACACCATGACAAAAAAAAAGGTGATTACTTTATTCGTCTCAGGTTCTCATAAGGTGATCCAAGATGAGGTCAGGAATCCTGTCTCTGGAGGCTGCTGTCAATTACGTACAGTACGTTTGAGACAGTTGTTCATCCACTGGGGACAGAGGAGACGGGGGCTACATTGTACATAAGTCTATTAGCTTTGTACATACAAAAACCATTTCGTCTTCCATGTAGGGTTATGGTGAAAGCTTTATTGTGGGTTATGATGCGTCTGCCTGAAGCCATGGATGGACGTGATAACAATAAGAAACGTATAATTATCACTGGTTCCAGGTGTTGGTGCTGCTGTGTCGTCTTTGTTATAGCTATATGTGTCATGCCTCTGCCTCCAGGTTCTCGAAATTCTGACGTTAATTTTTCCCTATTATTGGAGATCAGAGAAATAGCGTTGGTAGTCCCAGGGCAATGTTGCTGTTGCTAGCTATCTGTGTCGCGTCTTAATGGAGCCAGTTAGATGTTTTCCCATATTCCCAGGCTAGAAAAATTAATAAACGTCTCCATTAATAGAAGATATGAGGACCTCTAACTGGCTCACTCATCTGACCTAAGACACTAAGATGGCGTCCATAAAGGTGACAATATTGTGCTTAGCTTCTGCGTTAACCCACATAAATTCTTTATTTTTCAGTTTGGGAAAAAAATCGTGAGAATTTTTTTGAGAATCAGCACTCTTGATAATCTTGCTATCCACCCGAGGTTGAAAAATGCCTTTAACGTGATGCAAATGTAACTCCTTTTCGATGGTAACTCACGCTTGAAGTCAGTAACTCTTGCAGCTTCTTCATCATTCGGATCACTCGTCGGTTATTTACTTGTTGGTAACTCAATTACTGGTACACTCAAATTTATCAATAACTCGAAACACTTGGTATTTGTTCCTCCACTGCCCCTCCGCTCTATGACTTACAGCTATACGTTATACTACAGCTGTTTGTATTACTTTAAAACGAACCCCAAACATTCTAAGCGCACTGTCAAATTGTTGAGAATCGTGTAACAGTGATTTAAGAGTTATCTTGTTCATTACAATAAGGTCAATATCACTGTTCTTTCTCATCTTGTTGACTGCGGCATCATGCACTTTTAAGACCGGCAAAACGAACCAACCTTACTGTAGGTACCTAATTTAATGAAAATATATTCTAAGGTCATTTATTTGGTAGTTTAGTGACTCGTTAAGCTATTGAGATATTTTAAGAACTAACTGACGGATTTTGAAGCGTTATAGGAAGATCCTTAACGGGTTCAGGAGTGGTCAAAGGAATGGCTGATGAGATTCAACGTTACGAAATGCAAGAGGATGCAACTAGATCTTACTAATAGTAAGGAAGCTTATCACCTCTCCCAACGTGATGAAGAAACACCATTAACTGAAACTAAACGTGAAAAGGACCAGATGTTTGTTCACAACGATTAGATGTCCGTCTCTCCTAAAGCTCTTCAATAGTACGGTGTTCCCCAGCTTGGAGTACCGTCGTTCTGTCTGGTCACCATGATATGCTTAAGACTGCCAGTTGATTGAGAACATCCAGGAGGGCCACTAGACTGGTGCCTTCCGAACCTCACGTACCAAGAGAGTTAATGCCTTCAGCTGCCTAGATTATACTATAGAGGGGCAAGGGATGAATAAATAAAAGATTATGAACGCCTAAATTGGTCATAACTAGTAGATGGCCGCCCCATTACAGGTCACAGCCTCAATTTAAGAAGCCACAAGTACAGAAAACTATGGGAACTATCCTCTTTGGAGTGAGTTGTGAACCCTTGGAATAATCTGCCAGTGTTGTGACGGCACCGAGGGGGAGTAGCTCGTGTTCAGTACATTCAAGAGCCTTTACATGCCCAGTACTTGCCAAACAGAGACATGACCGACCGGCTAGCGAACCGAACCGCGCCGAAGAAGGTTGAATGAAAAAAAAAGTTGGTTACATTATTTTTACCAAAACACAAAACAAAATGGAAAATTCCGAGTTATTGAACACTAAATAACAGATTGACTCGACCACTGTAACAATCTTGACAAATACCTATGTTGTAATAAAATAGTATCTCAGGTCGAGGAGTGGATCTGGCACTTCTGGTTGTGCTGAAATTCAAGTCAAGTTGCAGGAGCACTTTTAATAGTAACCCAAGTCTCTGTTTGGTTTTCTGTGATACAATATTACAGAAATATTTGTTATTCTTGATATACAGGTAGAGAAAAATAATTGCCAGGTTTAACTACAGTACATCCAAATTCAAAGTGGTTGTGCAGTATATACCAGTGAAATACAAATAATGCATTGCAACAATAGGAGCATCAAAGTCATTTTTCAGTACTACAAATTTCTGACCGCCCTTTAACCTTCCATCATCCCCCGAACCTAAAACAAATCTCATTATGCAATCCCTCTGGTGACGCACAGCTGAAACGCTACAGGTTGTTTGTTGATCACTAAAAATATTCTAACACGTGTATCTTATGTTTAAATTAACCTATGAAGCTTTAATTTTACGTTAATAAATCTTTTTTATCCCTTTATGTGAATATATATCCATTTTTTACGAAACAATTGTATTTTAATCTGTTACGCCTTCAGTGATGTCAAACGAAAAAAAACACATTACAGTTTTTACAATGGAGACTTGTGATGTGTTAATTCCAATACCGGAAACTTTTTTTTTTACCGATCATTACGGCACTAATAAGCTAATTACACGATGTATAATTTTATTGTTACTTAATAAACCAATTGCCTATGTTTGTAATTGTTTATTTATACCTGTTTTATTATATTTGGTTTATGCTGTCTGCCAATTGTTGTGGTTCTGCTCTGTAAGGTTTATTAAGCACCGTTCGTTAGTGTTATAGTTTTAGGTGCTTCAACTACCACAGTTCACTAGGTCATTATTTTTTGGTGCTTCAACTGCCAGAGTGTGTTTATGCGCCGTTCTTTAGAGTCTTAGTTTTAGGTGATTCAATTACCAGGGTTATGAAGCACCTTTCACTGGGACATGTTGGGTGCTTCAACTACCAGGATTATGAACCACTTCACTAGATCCTGGTTTTAGGGGCTTCAACTACCAGGGTTATGAAACAACGTTCACTAGGCATTAGTTTTAGGTGCTTCAACTGCCAGGGTTATGAAGCACTGTTCACTGGTTCTTTGGTTTAGGTGCTTCAACTACCAGGCTATGAAACGGGCTGGGTCTTAGTAGGTTTCAACAACAGGTTATAGCACCGTCTGTTCTTGGTTTAGGTGCTTCAACTACCTGGGAGAAGCACCATTTATTGGTCTTAGTTTAGGTGCTTCAACTATCAGGGATTATGAAGCACCGTTCACTGGATTTTGGTTTAGGTGCTTCAACAACCAGGTTTATGAAGCACCGTTCACTGGGTCTTTTTGTGTTTAGGTGTCAACTACCAGGGTTATGAAGCACCGTTCACTAGGACTTGTTAGGTGCTTCAAATACCTGGGTCATGAAGCACGTACATTAAATCTTGGTTTTAGGTGCTTTACCAGGGTTATGAAGCACAGTTCACTAAATCTTATTTAGTTCAATACCATGGTTACGAAGCACCGGTCATTAGATCTTAGTTTTAGTTCCTCAACTTCGGGGTTATGAAGCACCGTTCACTAGGTCTTAATTTTATGTGCTTTGACTACCAGGGTTATGAAGCACCGTTCACTAGATCTCAATTTGAGGTGCTTCAACTACTAGGGTTCTTTGGAGACCAGGGTTCACTGGGTCTTAGTTTTTAGTGCTTCAACTGCCAATGTTATTAAATTAAACCTTCGAATCTTCATTACCTCAAACTCCAGAGTGTTAATTTAATTTGGATCATTGAATCATTAATACTTTTGGGGATTTCCGGCAGAGATTCTGGTAAAGATCCTAGTTTTTCCAACTAGTCTCCTTCAGTCTTGTATAATATGGACACAAAGTAGTACCTTAAGCTGTGTATTCTTATATTACTCTATTAACTATGTATAGTGAACATTTTGGGGGTATCAAAGGCAAACATAGAAGGCTCACGGATTGTTTGTTTTACCTTTTCCCCGATATATTTTTGTCGCGTTTTCCTAGGACTTGTCCCTGGAGTTTAAAGGCGTGATTTACAGAGACTATTTCACAACACAAAGTAATGCACAGACAAAATACAGGAATATAAACCCCCCAAAACATATAAACAGATGTAAAATAAGCATACATAAACCTACATAAAATATACATACACAAACACAATGAAAGTACATATAAATACATAATATATACTGCAAAATACAAACATAATAATACATCCAAAAAGCAACAAAAATACACAAACAACAGAAATACAAAAAAAACAAACAAATATACACATACAAACATAACACAAACATCGACAAATACAAAACAAAAACTAACAAAGCTAATTAAACCCAAAATAAACCATATAAAACCACACTTTACACAGAAACCCTAACAAAACCTTAACTCGTCTAACTAAACCAAACTTAAGTGTAACTAAATTTCAATACATTAGTTTAGTCACGAATCTTTATCGAGTACATCAGGAAGATTTCACTCACCACTGTAACCTGAGTTTCAAAATACAATGTGTGTATTAAAAGATAGTTAGGTAAGGTATGCAGACACAGACACGTGCTAGTGGTAGGGGGTGACTCCTGGCCACACTGTATAAAGTTACACTAAATCATAGACCAGTAGCCAGAGACCCGTCAACCCCTAGCCAGGCATCATGAGTCAGGTTATAAAAAAAAGCGCACCATTTCGGTTTGACGTTAGTAAAAATCGTAATTCATTACTCATGTCCAATTACAATCCGTGTATTCTATCCCCTCAACAGACATCCAATCAGTGAAAATAAAGGCCAATCTAGTGAAATAAACTAAACTTTGTGTACTTGGAGAAAAGGGTTTCGTGTACCCATCTCAAGTGGCAGGTTTGAGGTTACACAGTAGTCAGGCGGGCGAACCCACACGAGTCTCAAGTAGTGGTAGTGTCCCGCCCTTGACGTCTCCCAAACCGGCAATTGACTTATCTCTCCACTATATAACACTACGTTTATAATACTCTTTTCTACTTCAGTTAAAAATCATTGATAGATCCTAAAAGCCAATATTTGATATAATTTTCATAGATAAAATAACAACGATAGTTTACAGGCATTAGCTGATACACTTTACGTTTCTATTTAAGCACAAAAACTATTATAAGTATATGCCATCGTAATACAGCTCATCCTCACTGTTAACTTATACACTTTATAAGTATGAATATGTACAGAATAATGCAAATTGACATACAAAAAAGTGAAAAAGAGTAGATTGATATGCAAAAAAAAAAAAATAATGGCGAAGCTAAATTTAACCTAACAACCGAATCTAAGGCTAACCTAACTTGAATTTACCTTAACAAACTAACAAATTCAACCTAACATAAACAAAGCTGACCTAACCTAGTCTAATTTAACCTGAACCATATCAACCTAACCTAACCTTAACTAACCTAACCTAGCCTAACCTAACCTAACCTAACCTAACCTAACTCTAGCCAACCTGTCCAACCCAAACTAACCTAAATTAGCCAATAATGACCTCACGAAACCTAAACTTAAAATGACCTTACTAACTTAACCTAAAACTCACTTAGCCTACACGAAACTATATTCCACTTAACTTGGACCTAACACTAACTTAAATCTACCTTATTAACATACAAATGATCTATAATATTCTCCAGGGAAGTTAAGTTAAGTTAATGTCAGTTATAGGAGCACAGTTTAACGCCAATGTAATTTAGGTTAAAGCTTCAGTGGTGTCAGCTCCACTCTTAAAAAAAAATATTGTTATTAATGTTCCTCATAACTTAAGCTGGGAAAAATGTATCTAACTGGTTGATTTAAGTTAATTATGACGATTTAACCCTTTGATGATAATGAGTTAACCCCTGGACTACAACCTAACCCTTTGAATACGATGATTTAACCCTTTAAGTATGATGTCTTTACCACTCGATTACAATGACTTGAGTAGTAAAACATATCAAACCTTTAAGTACGATGATTTAACCCTTCGAGTACGATGTCATTAACCCAGTGCGAAGTCTTAATCCCTTGAGTATACGATGACTTAACTCCTTGAACGCGATGTTTTAACCCTTAAACTATGATACTCGCTTTTCTTAAGACCAAGGATGTTCTACGTACTTAAGGGATTACAGAGAGTTCCAGTGAATCAGGTATTTGTGTCATTAGAGCTCATATAAATCTAGGTGTATTGTATATAATATCTTCTAATTATTTCGGCTATTTTGTAGTAATATGTAAAATACATTTATTTAGTTGATTTATTCTAATTAGCTAGTTTCTGCATAACAGCCATTAGACTAGTCATTGCGGTTCCGACAATGAATATATCAGAGGACCTTAAATTCCAACCATCCATCTGTCGGGTTGGGAATAGGCTGTTGAGAGTAGGTTTTACTCCTGACTCCGACTGCTGTTTGTCGGAGCTGCTTCCCTAATGTTCTTGTTATTTTTGTTAGGTATAATGTTTACGATGTTTAATAGGAATTTAAATTAAGTTACCATTCTGTTTTGCCTCGTGATGTTTGTGTGTCCTTGTAAATATATTGGTTTGTTTTAAGTGTATTTTTCACTCTGGGTTTTTTCCTTCACAGTTAAAGAACAGCTGACCTATTGAAGCCTGTCTAGAGTACTTCTAATAATAAGTGCATTATAGTACTCAAGGGGTTAAACTCAACGTACTCAAGGGGTGAAACGCAACGTACTCAAGGGGGGTTACGTCATTGTACTCAAGCCGGTTTAAATCTTGATTCTTTATGCATAATATTGAAATTATAATCGTGAAGGAAGTTATTTTTTTCCAATTAAATTTCACCAAGAAGGATTCGAAAGGGTCAAGGTTTTGGTCGAAGCTTCAGAACCCTCCCTTCCACCACCACCACCACCTCCTCTTCTTCCTCTTCCTCTTCCTCGCATTCACGACTTTCCGACCTCAAATGTATTGACTGAATGAGAGAGAGAGAGAGAGACTAATAGAGAGAGAGAGAGAGACTAATAGAGAGAAAGAAAGAGGGAATGTGAAAGAGGAAAAAGAGGGAATGAGAAAGAAAAACAGAGAGAAAGAAAACGTGAAAACGAAAGAGAGAATGAGAAAGAAATACAAGGACAGAAACAACAACACGCTAGGGTCTGTTTATCTTGCTTCACCTTTGCTACCTGCCTGACGTCTCGTACACATTACCAGTAGTGCATAGTGTTCTCATCAAACTTCCCGCAGTAAAAAAAATAAAATCAAAACTTGTCCAACATATTAATTATTCCCTCCAGATATCAACGTTCACTTAACACACTCGACTTTTTGAACGAAAATAAATCAAATCTATTTAAATATCACCCCCACAGAATTCGTCTTTACCCATCAGAAATAATAATAATGTTGATGATACTTAATATACTGTGGTGAATATATATAGAATATCCACGAATTTAAAAAGTGAACAATAAATTACAACACTGAACTGGAAACTGGTAGTGACGTCAGACATGAGAGACCAGTTATATTTTTATGTTTCGTATCGTTGTTTTTGTAGCGTTGTGTACGTCATCAAGTACTGCGTCTCTGTGTAGTGACGCATTTTACCTGACAATATATATTCTTTTTTATGTCTTGGTATTCTCTTACTTATGTCGATATTAATTGATTGTATATAACCTTCTTCATGTTAGTCTCC